CCCCGCGCGTTAGGTATTCCCCCTGTTCGCCTCCGCGCGTGCCCGGACACTCCCTCGCGTGTCCGGGCGTTAAATAGTAGGACCGCTGTGTACTGTATTTGTAGTAAACTATACCTGACAGGGAGAATTTCCATGTCCTGACATTTCATGTTGCTGTGTTGGTGTTAGGAGCAATATGGCTGCGACAGTAACAGTCTGGTGAAATGTCACTTTTAGAATAAATTCTAAATCATTTACTTTTCTGTAGGTTCACGCATGGTTGTGGATTTTCGGCACGAAATCGTTGATTTTGTAGAGAAGCACGACAACAAGCCATCTCATTGGCCAGATTTTACAAGTCCCACGTAAGTGTGTCTGTGTGTCCAATGTGTTGTATCTTTTTGTTTTATAGTCTTAAGGTAGAGATGCAGTTTACCTGACAGGTATTTTAATTAGTTAATTAGGAAACCAAGATGACCTCCCTTGTCCACAAAACTATATATTTTCGGAAAGCTTATTGTATGAATTTTAATTTTTTTTTTAGTATTTAATATGCACAAAAATGTGCTTTTTTGGTCAAAAGTGATTTAAAAAAATTAGCTCCTAAACCATGCTTCTGTTTCCTGTCAAAATTGGTTTATGGGTACATCTGTTTACTATGAAGAAATCGCCGTCTTGAAAACTGTCTACCAATTTTGCAGGGCAGCAGTCCAAATTTCATGTATGTATGGGGGTCTAAAAACTAACTCTGCGACGCGATTGTGCGACTCGCCGAATGTCGATTATTGCACTCTGCGACAGAATCGCAGTGTCACTCTGCGAAGAGCACAATTCCCATTGGTTGGTTGGTCGAACAGCGCGAATCCCAATGGTCGATGTTCACCACAGGCCTTATAAAAAATTAAGTTTTAAATGGTAAAAAAGGTACGGTAAAAACAGTGTGTAAACACTATGTACCGGCGACATGCCGCACTGTTCGGTGATCGGCAAGCACATGGAAGACAAATTGTGAGACCAAACAAATGACACATGGTTTACGGTTTTTAGACACATCACACCGCTGGCTAGAAAAATTAAACAGTGTAACGTGCACGTTGATTTTGGCTGCCTATTTACGGTGTAACGTTATCGCCATCTTATCGCCAGGCTTCGTCCTGATGACTATGTTCATTAGCATAGGCGGCAGCTTCAAAGCGAGTGGAACGCGAAGTACTTTTCACGCGTTCTGCAACGAATGTTGTACGTCAGCTTTGACTTTGTTGAGTGCATCAAGGAAAATAATTTGCATGCAGTAAAAAAAAAAATCATTCACGACGTGCAACGTTTGCCATGGTAGCAGTTTGCAATCGTCTGCCTTCGTTTAGATCATAAACGGACTCAAAACTTATGGTTTACGATCGATCAGCTGGTATTTTAACCACCAGAAATGAAATACTTTGTAACAGTTGTGAAAAGTAAACAAAAACGGCGTTGGTTTGTGGTATGAATGTAATTATTTTTGTATCATAATTTTTGAAGTCAGTATTACTGATATGGTTTATTTTTTTAAATCAACGCCAAATTTCGATGGTCCATATTGATCTTTTAAAATGTTGCGGAGAGACCAGTGCTCAAACGCTAACACTACTACCGTACGCGTTTCGTTAATATTTGCACAATGTTTATACCATGTATATGTATACTACCGGTTATACTCTGTTGTTGACGATTCTGATAGAACGGGTGACAAGCTTCCTGTCGCAAACAATGCATATTAATCTAACGTTCATTGTCAAGACTTCGTCTGAGAAATCGTTTTATTTTCTAAGTCTATATTCTATTTTAATAACACCGTCTTACTAACGTAATGGCGATAAAAAAGAAAGCAAAGACGCCAATGACAGACGAGGCAAAGACAAATCTGCAACTCAGGGTCATATTTACTAATTTAGACTTGCCTGCAGCGTTGTTGTGATTCCGATGCAAAATTACAGGACTTTCGCGTTCACCCCTCGTTTATGCAATTTGTATTTATTTTTCAAGAATTTTTCATTGAATCGCAATAGCAAGCACGTCTAGGTCATATTATGACCAACCTCGCGAGTGGTTTGAAGGGGACGATTAGGCTGAAGTATTCGCATCAACGCGAGATGACGACACCGATACGTGAGAGCGTTGAGGGCCGGTTATCAGACGAGGAAGTGAGTACAGAAAATCTGTTGCTCGTCGACATCGGCCAAATAAACAAAGCCATCGTTTCCGTTTATGCAGAGAGCGTGCACTCATCTAATTTTCCGTTGACACTGCTGTAGTAGTTTTCCATCTTCAGCAGTAGTTTCAATCCATTCACATAGCTTTACGTTTTTCCTCTCTTAATATTCTTAATAAAACTATATTGATTGCCTAGAAACAGTTTGACCCGCTACACGCTTTATTTGGGAATTCAAAGTGATGAATATAGTCATAACAAATTATACTTGCTAATGACAAAAAAAAGAAGTAACATCGTGTGAAACGTACTTCGCGCTCTACTTGCTTTTAAGCTGCCGCCTATGCTAATGAGCATAGTTGCGGACAAAGCCTTGCAACTTCAAGATGGCGTTAATGTTACCAGCTCCCTGGTGTTACACCGTAATAAGGCACCCAACACCAACGTGCATGTGTTTTGTAACCCCTCTCATCCCCTCCGGGGGGATGTTATACATGTTTATAAATCAATGTTAAATACTTGCTGATTACCGAACCGTGCGGCATGTCGTCGGTAAATACTTGTTTATCGTAGTTCGCGAGCAGTCGGCGAAATAACCATTTAAAACTGAACATTTCTATAAGGCATGCTATGTACCCTTACATCGATCGACCATTGAGATTCACAATTTTTGGCAAACCAACCAATGGGAATCGTGCTCTTCGCAAAGTGACACTGCGATCCTGTCGCAGAGTGCAATAATCGACATTCGGCGAGTCGTACAATCGCGTCGCAGAGTTAGTTTTTTAGACCCCCATACATACCTCCAAATTTCATTACTTCAAGTTTATGCATAAATTAACACCCAGGCTAGTTGTCTGTACGATTGTTGTAACACTGTTCAACCAAAAACAATGTCCCGACGGCGTTTTGAAGATAAACACATTGTCAATCATTTGTGAAAATTTCAAAACAAAATGTCAAAGTGTCTAGGAGCTATATTTTTTAAAGTTCTGGGATGTGCACTAAAAAGAAGCTGAGATAATTGCTAATTTGCATAACAATTCACTCGGTATGAAGTTTGCTAATGCTCATAATTAAAATGGCTGTAACAGTTCCAAATTTAGATGTATTATTGTTTTGTTAAAAGTTAAATATAGTGCATAATATGGAGATCCCGTCATTTCTTTTTTACCTTGCCCGTACCATCAAAGATGGAAGGGAAAGGTATATTAAGGGAAAGATTTTGTCCGGCGTTGTCGTCGTCGTCATCGTTAATAATTGTTATTGTGTGCATGATAACTTTACTAATTCTATTCCAAACTTCATCAAACTTGGTCACCTTGTTCATCAGTATAAAGTCTTCCCTGAGTTTGAACAACAGATGTCCTGTATGAAAATATCATGCAAAAATTGAGAAAAACTGATAAAATATTTCGACTGTTTCTACTTGACTGATCACTGGTGATACACATCAAAGGTCACTGATCTCAGTGGAAATATGCATTGTTGTATGTGTTCAATGAAGCAAATGATTTATCTTAATAATATCCTTGGTAATGTATCTCAGAATCCCTTACTGGGTTT